AAAAACTACTATCTATATTATCGACTCAAAATTAACCCTATATTTTAAATGAAGAACTCAATTATTAATTCTAATATTTTTAGATAAAAGACCCGATATTACGACACGGCCTTCCTGCGCCTCAGGGGCAAAAATTTTAAGGCTGTGAAGGTCAAAAATCAAAATACGACCAAAGGTGGTTGTTTATGCAAAGTCAGCCCTCCGGTGCCCCGTTTGGGAATATTTGGCTATTTATGACATAACAACATCACCTGACTTATTTATGACTCTTTTTTTTATCGTTTTTCAAATTAGGAAACTCACTATTGCAAACACGGCCTTTCAACGTCTCGGGGACGAAGATTTTTAAGGCTGTGTGGGTCAACTGGACCAAATCTTAAATATGACCCAAATGTGGCTGTTTATGCAAAGTCAGCCTTCCGGCGTCCCCTTCGGGAACATTCGGCTATGTCTTCATAAAACAGCGTCACCCGACTTCTTAGAAATTTGACATATATATTTTGCTATTATTAGCAAAAGGGGAGGTTGGACACCACCCGACTTATTTATGGCAAAATTAAAATTCTTGACATGTTTTTTTTTTGTTTTGTTTTTTTTATTTGTTTTTTGGCTTTTTTTTTTAGCAAAAAGGGGGGTTGGACCCTCATGCCTACGTATCTCACATCCGGTGAGAATCAAACCCGCGTAGTTCGGGCAAATTAACCGAACTGTTTTAAAACATGACTCTTTTTCATTTTTATTTTTTTCCTGGCAAGACAATCTATTTTCCTTTTCTATTTTTGAAAAAGACAAAATAACAATTTTTTTTCATTTTCAACAAACAATAAAACAATCTATTTTTCCGGAAAAAAATAATAATAATAAAAGACTCTTTTTTTCTATATTTTTTAGTAAAACAAAAATAAAATATTTTCCTCTTTTTTTTTCAAAATTTCGGCAAAGCTTCGCCAGTAATTGGTCATTGATTTTTTTTTCTAAAATAATCAATTAACTCCCTAACTGATATATTCTTTTTCCCTTTTTTTTTCAATTTTCCAACATTCCCGAGATTCAGAAACCGGTCAACATGCAAGTTCGAAACAAATATATGTACAGAGCAAGTAGGATGCATCAGAATGGTCTTTTCATTTCAGGTTGCTAGTCCTAGACGGACCCAACCCCTGTGTTGAGTCCCCTAAGTCAAATG